CAGGCTCTGTGATCAGACATTCAGCGCTTGACTTCATCCACCCTTTTTTCTTGTGCAGGATGAACATTATGGGACCATCCACGACAACAAATTTTTTCCTTTCTTCCTTCTTCGGGCTCCTGAACCAAACCTTCCACCTTGTATTTCGAGAACGGCGCAGGTCAAATTTGAGCAGCGCACTTCCCTCTTATGACGTCTGATTTGAAAATCGGGCGCTGATTTTCACCACTCGGGCTTCTTTTCAATTTCTCGAGAACTTCTTCTGTGGGTAGGTTCGCCAAATTTCACAGATACACAGCTAAAGGTACTAGCCTCCAAATGGTATAGTAGCCCGCTGCTCTATCCCCTTTGCTTTTCTGCCATTCCTCTGTAGGTCACTCTTGAATGGGATGACCTAATAGAAGGTATCGCAGCGCTTTGTGCCTCGGGAGGGGCAGTTCCCAAGTGGAGTCAGAACACAACTCCTCTTGTTTGCTCCCTGTTGAAGAGTTGGAGGGACATGTTCTCACACGGGTGAGAAGGCGTCAGAAAGCGTCACCTAGACGGGGAACGCCGAATGTAAATCTTCAGATGAGCAACCCAAGCCGCGCCCATCAAGATCGGCGATGCGCGTGATGGCGTGGCCTGTGAACGCCGCAGCCTTTGTGTACGAGTTGTGCGCGGAATCGCCACACACGACAGCATAACGTGACTCTATCGCATCAGAACATTACGTGCTGAAGGCTTGTCTGTAATCGGCGTCTTCGAAGCACAGAGCACCGGTTTTGCTTGTGTTTACAAACCATATGTCGCGACAAGGATCAATAACTGAATAGGGTCCAGAAGAGCTCACATTGCTGAACTCCTGTTGGGCTCACAAATATCCCAGAGCCGATAATACCGCCAACGATCATTGTTACACAGTTTGTCAGCGTAAGTGTTCTAGCTAAGCCTTTTCCTTCGTCCTGTGAAAGAATGATAACTTTCCAGAAGATAAATGCTCCTGCCTCGTTGGCAGTACTTTGAAGACAACAAACCTGCTCGCTTGGGGTAAGACCGCCATCCGTAAACCTTCCTTCCTCACCCGTACTTTCGTCAGCAACCTCGTCACCCACATCTCCATTATCGTCGATGTCTTTCGAAGGACTAGCTGGGTTTGGTTCACTTCGCTCAGTGTTGTGGGAGGAAAGCAAGTCTTCGGTTGGATTTTCAGTTCCAGCGCTTTTCGCGTCGATCTCTGGATTTGGGCTGCTCATCTGAAATGAGCTGCATTCAATAGTTGGAAAGCCAGACTGGCTGTGGGGGCAACCCGACCTCTCACTGAAAGTGACCATATTCAAATTGAACCATTCTCAGACACTCATACGTAAAATAACCAAATGATAAAGTGAAGAATGAATCTTCCACCTTCCCCAACAAGCATAGCGACAAGGCGTGTCCATATTCAGCTTTTAGTTAGAAGGTAGCAGAATCAGTGCTTCGGATGCGTATCGATTAGAATTAGATTAGATCAGATGTTGGACGAGAACGGGTCCGAGGCAGCTTATTCCTCCAGAAAACTTGCATCATCTTTGCTCCTGTTGATCATAGAGTTGCTCGAGCGGGCGCCGGCAACATCACCATCCGTACCTGCAACGTGCTAGAGTTGTCTACTGTGTTCGCAATGCTTTCACAAACAAGTCAGACCACTGAGGAGGCCGTCGTTCAGGTGATTAACATCCTATTATCCCTCTCGGCCTTTTTCGAAACGTAGGATGCGTTCAGCCCCACTGAAGAGCGAAATCATGGCAAATTCTGCTGCTTCTCTGATCTTCGGTGGTAGGCGGAGTTCGATGTTTCGGATTTCCTCCACTCTCAGATGCAGCAGGAAAAACATTCCGGCTAAGCTCTTCAACTGAAATGTTCAACTGAAATGGTTAATTAAGTAAAGATCGGCGATCTACATCACTATCGCCGTGCTGACAAGGCCAGCTCATAACACCGAACATCGACCAAGGAAATAATTGCTTCGGTAGCGACTCGTGTAGGTAGGCAGGTTTGCAGTTGAACATGATGCATGGAACTGGCTGGCTTTGCTGGCGCTGTTCAGCGACGGGAGAGGAGGGGGCATTTTGCACCTTCCCAGCCTCACTAGTTCCTGTTTGCAAATCTACTCTGATGAAACCTGTGAACTCTTGTGTAGCGGGAGCAAGCTGTCATTTCTCGTAAAACTGCTTCTCGATGGCTAGACACGTCTATGGGAGTGGAGTGGCCAATGCCCAAAGAAACGGCCGCTTTCAACTAAACGGCCATGTAGGCTTGAATTTCTCCTAAAGGTCCTGGTAGAGCGCAAAGAAATGGAGGACTGGGCGCCATAGCATTCAAAGGTACAGAAATTACGTCACGAGCCAAAGAATGAGCTCTTGCGAGGGAAGGATGTTGTCTCACCTGTACCCTCGTTGATCATCAAGTCATTGATCGAAGGCTCGGGCAAGTTGGCAAGGCCACTATTCAGTCCTGCAACGCACTAGAGGTTGCCCAATGTTTTTCTCTACTTTCCTGCGAACCTTTCCTCAAAGAAGTCTGACCATCGAGTGGGCAGTCGTCCACGTGCTCATCTGACATCCCGTGAAATTCCGTCAGTAATTGCTCTAGCTCAGCGGCCACCTTCGAAATGCATGACGCGCCTTTCTCAACCGATGTTTGAAATCTTGGCAAATGCCATTACAGCCATGATTCCCGGACGTCCGCTCAGAGTGCAGCAGCTGCTGGATTCCCTTTATCACTCGCGCGTAGCGGAATGCATCGAACAGCAGTTTGACGGCGCTTGATCACACAAACAGTATTTAGCTGCTGTGTGGGCAGGGTCCAAGTCTATGAGGCGTGCATTCAGGCAGGAGGGGACAACGGAACGCACAGCAATTGTGTCCTCTTCACTGTATGTCCCCTCATTCAAATAAACCTTCATAAACTTCGGAGATCGTTATGGATGTTTCGAAGGCGGTTTCGAGGTCAGCGTCCAAAAATAGGTCCCGCGATCTATGTCTTATTACGGATGGCCTCTTCGAGCGCAGAGACAGCCATCCTTTCTGAGAGGGCTTACACAAGTTCGATAAAGGCGGCACTATAAACGGGGGAGATCAGTGTCCGTAAACAGGGCGCTGCCATTTGGCAATGAGTCGGTTGGTTCGTGCACGGTGTGTTATAGAAGGCGAGTGGACAGCCGGCGGTGGAGAAGATCTGCTACTTGAAGGCATTGCACGATGATTCGGGTGGTCCAGCCCTAAAATGATAGTAGGTGCGCTATATAGTAGGCGAAATTGGCGGAGGAACGGAGTGAAAAGCGGTCAAAACCCTGCACAAAAAGAGTACTCGTGGCTCCGTTCTCCACTGTGTTCTTCGTAATCACGTGCTGGACGACGTTTACCGACAGCATCTTACCAATAGCGTTAGCGCGAAGTACGGCTGCCATGTGTACTCCATCTATCGCATCACAGCATCACGACCGCTTCATACCAATGCCTTCGCTTCATAATTTGCTTAGCAAATGAATCAATTAGAGCGTCTGGAACAGTCGTCCATTTGTGGGCGGGCGGGCAAGGGGGCGTTTGGGACGTAAAGTTGTGGCTTGATAGCGCCCTTATAAGGGCACCTTCCCTGGAAAAGGCATTATGCAGCGCCTGCTCAGGGTCGCGGAATTCCGTCCTGCCAGGCGTATTAGTCCTGCTCGTCTTGGAGGATTTATCGTGCCAACTGCCTTTAAGGGCAGCGCGCGCATTCATTTGAATAAGTTATGGTGCTCAGACAGTGACAACGAGGTAGCAAGCAGTTCATTAGTGAAGCAAATTGCAAAAAAAATCATCGGATATGCCCTATACAGGACCCCACGCCGAGCTGAGGTTGTACGTGCTTGAGGCGAAGAGAAGGCGCGGCCGCACGAGTTCTCACTTGTTGGTATCAGCTGTTTTCCCTTATCACCTCACTCTCACCATTCGAAGTGGAGAGAGTTAGAAGCAGAACAACCGCACCATCAGGCAACCATTAGAAATGAAGTTGGGCGTAGTGGTCGCCAGGTGGGCGGGGTGGCCGACTCTTCACGAGCGGGCGCCGCTATTCTCTCGCATTTTTGAGTTGCGAAACTAGTACGTCCACCATCCTCATAGGGTGAGCTACGATATCCAGAAGAGGGCGTGGAAACAACAAATGAACGCGGGCGCTGCCTTTAAATGAGGTTCTCCTCTGATACTGCAGGTGGGCGAGGTTTGCAAAATCTAGAGGCTGAATGGGCGGGCCGCGGACCGTTCCGATGAGAAGGAGTAGCCGTCAGCCGCGAAAGAAGCGCAACTGTCAGGGGGTGGCTGAGCGCTTCCATAGGAAGGCGGAACTCATTCAAGTTATAAGCCTTTGGCGGCCTAGTCACGTACATTCTATGTGCAAAGGGGTGGGGACACCGCCTGAACACTTTTTATGCCTGAAAGAGTCCACCTAGCACGAGAAATTATTTGCTCTAAGGCGAGCGCTACTTGGCTAGTCTTCCAACAAGGGCGCCATCATAGGGTCTAATCTAGGTGGAGCTGACCCAGCTCGCCGCAACCGCCCACCTTCTACTGGCCACACGCCACATTGATGGATACTTTTACCGCTTCGCTTACGAAGCACATTTGGATTGAAGCCGCTGGGTGCTTCATGGATGTATCGATACGTACATGTAGCCGTATCTGCCTGTGCAGTTGCTGGAACGATGCCAAAGTAAAACTCGTCTGGATTTGGTCCTTGCTTGCTGTCTACTCGTCCAGTATGGGGCAGAGCAAAGATCTTTCCGCAGGTTTTTGACCGCTAGGCTTCGCTTTTTTAAGATCGTCAAAGCCACACTAAGTTGACAAGTTCCAAGACAGCAATGAAAAATTATTTATTCAGGCTTAAAAAGAATAATAAAATGCTCCTAATCATACAACTGTACCAAAAGGGAGCGTTCTTTATGAAAGTAAAAAGCAGATTTAGTTCAAGGTAGACTCGATATTTGCGATCACTTCTTTATTCGGTCAAATTTCCTTATTTTCGTCCACAAGCATGAAAAGTTTTTGGCAGAAAGCGGTGAAATTATCTAAAAATTGGTGATAGAGCTCTCGTAGTATGGGAGCGGCTCTGAAACTGGAGACGGAGCCAACGCTAGCGCAGTGCGCGCGCATCATTAGTCAGCAGCCAAGCACCGCCACGGAAGCTCCGCCCCCATCAATGAAATGACTCGACGAGACGAACTGTACTCCAAAGCTTACACATGATTCTTCTGAGAAATGTTGGTTGTTCCAGTGCAATAAAGAGAATATAGAAAGGTATTGCTGTGAAAACGATAATCCAGCCAATAGCTAAACTTGCATACTCGTTTTCGTTGCTAACGCAGTGCGTGTCACAGGAGGAGGCTGGATTTGCCCCGGCGCCAGCCCGTTTTCCATCAGTTGTGGTCGCTGGCCCGCTTCAGCAATTAGTGGAGGGCGGCAAGGGGCACCTTGTAGTCCAACCTCGTGGTGTAAGGCGCGCCTGCACCGCCTCAAAGCCACTCTTCGATTTTCAGAAACTTTTCTCT